AAATGCAACTAAACTTAGCCTTGCAACTTAAAATTTAAACGTTTTTAGTATTTTTGCTGGATTTTCAATATATTTTAATTAATAAATAACACRCATGTGAATTATGACTGAAATATGTTTTTAGAAAACATTTTTCAAAGAAATGCAATTCAAATTAAATTAAATTACTAAGTACAAAGTACATTATTGCAAATATTATTTGTATATTAATAACTAAGTTAATACAATTATTACAAATATATATTATATTAATATCAAGTCATAACTAAACTATTTTAGATAAATACAGCTTTGAGTTTTTTGTTTTCAATTAACAACTATTTAAATATCAATGTATGTACAATATGAATAATGCTAACGGTAATATTTGTTGTTATTATTTTACATATAACTAATGAAATATGTGTATGTATGTTTATMAATAGACAATATGCTTGTTAACACTAAATTATTTTATTTTTGTAAATTGTTTCTTTTTTTTTTAACTTTTTTAATTATTTAAATGCTAAAAAATGCGCTCGTAAATTTTTATGATTTTTTTTTTGTTTTGAAATATGCATATTTATATTTTTGTGATTGTCTAAAAAATGTTCAGCATAACATTATGATTTTATGAATATTTTGCAGCAAAAATTTCATTTTATTTTTTTTTAATTTAAAACTAAAATTTTTTCAATGCATTTGTTTATTGTTGTTGCATGGTTGTATTCAACTGTGTGGAGGGGGAAGCGGGAATTCATGCAAGTCGTTGCTYTGATTATAACTGTTAAGCTGCATGGGTGGGGAAGAGGCTCACCGYTGTTTGTTTTGGCTATAACCAAAGCACGAGTTTTGCTTTTTCTTAAAATTCACACACACACACACRCACAAACACAAGRGTGCGTATGTGTGTAGCGATTAAGTGATAATTGTAAATATTTACTAAACGCATTCCACATTTACCGTTACCTATTTGCTTGTGGCCCTAAAATTGCTATTAACTGGGCGTTAYTGTGTGTGCGCCGAGATGAAGGGGAAATAAATTGAATTTGTGCAGTCGGTTAAACTAATAAAATAGAAATATTCAAATTCTAAATGCTAAAATCTTCGCTACTCTATAAATACAATACAAACATAATTATGTGTTTAGGTATATAATCG